AGACATGTGACTGAAAAAAAACCCACCCAAATATTTTAATTTTGAATCTTGATTTAAATGTGGTTTGATAGTTAAAGAATGTGATTCTCTTAAGAACTAATGGCAATTAAACTAAAGCTCTCCACAGATTTACACTCTGTGGGAAATACACTAAGCTTTTTCCCTTCAGCAGCAGTAGAATAAGACTCCATTGCAGACACCATTCAACTTCAGAGGCAGGACTGACAGCCACCCCAAGCATTTTCTAGAAGGTCTATTGGGTTTCTAACCAACTGATCCATGACACTGCCTCTTATAAAGAGAACAGACCCATTCAGGTCCAGGTCAACTACTCATTAATGCCGGACTTGGTCTAGGAACATGTCCAACCTACGGAGTGAAAAAGTGTGGCTCAGGTTATATTGTTTCCTCAACATTTGTAAGCGATTTTCTTTTATATATACACTTATAATTACTGTACTATTTTTTTCAGTCACATGTTTTTCCACATGTGGAAATCAGTTTTGCCTTATCAAAATGATTATGATCATAATTATTTTACTTCAAACAGAATTAACCTTGTAATTACTGGACATCTTATACTGGACATTTTATACTGGACATTTCTTTGTACATTTCATACAAATGATTATCCCTTTACTATCTCAGTAACAATCGGCCAACTACTAAAAAAAATATTAAAAACAGTTTATTTATAATTCTAGGGAAACAGTCTCCTCCTATAAGCAAACAAATAAAACAATGTGAAGTCCCATTTAGCAAACCAAACCAAACCACATAATCACAGTACTGCACCAACATGTAAGGTACCATAGTTGACAGCTGGAAGAGAGTGAACCAAACAGTGGGGGAGGAGTTTTCTTACTGGCAAGGATTCCTCTCCCCACGATGTTCTTTTTGTTAGCACTGCTTTCCTCATGGCTCTGCCAGAGTTTCTATCAGCAAGAATTTTTCGGCAGTTAACTCAAAATTTCCACCCGACAAAGGAAACTGAAGGAACCAAAGGCAATAACCAGCAACTTGAGAATTTTACAGATTTTGTCTATGATGGAGCCAGCAGACTGACAAATTTGGAAGTTACTAAATGTAAGAGAAAGCTAATTAAGTCTATTCAAGCCACAAACTAATTATCCTGTGTTTTGGACACAAACAGTGTTGCTGTATCTATTTTAGGGTTTAAAGGTTGACAACAAAACTCCCAGTTTTTGTACTCATCTATGAAAAATCTCACTCCACAAAAACTAGTTAGTGTTCCTAGTTTGCAAAGAATTGTACTACTTGTTCCTTATTGTTTTAGTAAATGCTATTACAAAAATGAGCGAACAAGTTGTTCCAAATAACGAAGGGGTGTGTTTTAAAGGTTTTGTAAATTGTATTTTTACACTATTTTCTATTTTGAACTGCTTTCAAAATTGCTTTCTTACCCACATTATCTCCTTCTGTCTGTACAGTAACACTGTGAGGTAAGCAGGGAGGGATTATCTGAATTTCACAGTAAAGAAGTCCAGCTCATGCGGTTTATGTGGACAAGGTCAAACAGAAAATGAAATAACCAAAACTCAAAACACAAGTTTTTGTTTCTTCCATTATACCATACTGTTTGTAAGTTGGATCTTAGAATTTGAAATGCATCCGCCTACAAAAGTAATGTTATATATGGTGGTTTGAACTCTAGACTAACCCACAAAGACACTTAGCTTATAAAGTCTGAACTATCAAAAAGTGGCTAAAATGGACTTTTGTGGGCTGGACTAAGCCCCTAATTTACACAGATAACATCATTTATTTGATTAGAAATATACCATATACTTCAGAAAAAATATCCTATTCATATGAAGGACCGGACAACCTTCCAGTGCCCATCCTCTGAAGGAGCAGCTTTCTCTTCCAGAGCCACAAATACATCAGTTCTTCCCGGTACCAGTGGCCACTGGCCTCCTCACCAGCACAGATCAGCACAGATACAAAGAATACAGTGCCTACAAAAATACTATTTGATCTCTGGGATTCTAGATGTATCTTGCTCTCCATTCTTAGTAAAAACTGTTCGTTCATATATACCAGATAAGTGTGAGACCATGCGTAAGTATCTACAGCTGGGATCGTGAGTAAGTTTCATCTCTTGTTCCATTCTAACTTATGAGTACTCCAATGGGAAACATTCAGAGATGGGAACAGGGCTCAGAGGGAAGGAGTGGAAAATAAGACATGCCTCTGTGGGCATGCAGAGCATGATTATTCAAGAGAATTCATATTTATTTTATATACAAATTATAGAGAGTAATGAAATCAGAAACAATAAGTGATTGAATTTTAAAAACATATTCATTTTATTTGCTCAATAAGTAGGAAATTAAGAGGAAAACATTAAATTATTGCTACTGTTGCCTCTTTGTTCCAAAGGGTGCCCTCTTCCACTTAACAGGTGTGATGGTTAAGGTTATGTGTCAATTTGGCTAGGCCATGATTCTCAGTAGTTTGACAGATATCTGCCTCTACTTTGTGATCTGATATGAGCAGCCAATCTGTTGAAAGCCAATCAGCTGAAAGCCAATGAGTTTTCTTGGAGGTGTGGCCTGCATCCAATATATATGCATGTTCTGGAAAAGCTCTCTCTGGATCCTGCATTTAACTCGTCATTCTCTGAACTCCAGTTCTTGAGATGTGAGCCAGCAGCCTGCCGCTTGACCTGCAGGTCTTGGGATTCGCCAGCTCCCGCAACCCCATGAGCCAGCAGCCTTCCACCTGACCTGTCAATTTTGGGTTCGTCAACCCCTGCAACCACGCACATCAAGATATATATATTTTTTTTTATATACGCTTCTCTGGTTTTACTCCTCTAGAGAACCTCGCCTAAGACAAGTATGTGAATTCTTTTTTTTCCCCCAAGATACTTTATTTTTAAAACAGGTCACAACACTAAGCTTTTGGCCCATTCTGCCACTGTACAAGCTACAAATGCTTGCTCAGCAGCTGGGTGCGTTCTTTAGTAGCATGTTTGAAAAGCGAATAAAAATGCATATAAAACAAATACTCAAATAGTTTCCATGGGAACACAGATAAGTGTGACCCTATCTCCTAGTCAACTATAGTGTTGCATCTGTGAACAGGTATGTGAATTCTTCAAATGAAGGTTTCCCGAAGGACTGTGAAAGTCACAAAAGCTGTTCTTTTTTTCTGGCCAGCTGTAAAGAGAATGATGGGAAGCACATGCCCTGACTAAGAAACATGCCTTCACATTTCCTTTTCCCTTTGGATTACAGAATGGGCAGATTTGATTTAATAAAAAAAATTTAGTAAATTTTAAGTATCCTTGTCTCCTTACATCTCCCCAAAATACAAACCGAGCTCACTGCATCCAGAAGACTGTGCGTATGATAACGAGTAGTGTGGTTTCTGAGACTAGCTAAGCATTAGAAGCACCTGGATTGTTTAAAAAAAAAAAAAAGATTCCCTGGCCCGATCCAAAGGTGGAAGCCAGTAATCTGATCATCAGTCAAGCTCAAGGACAGTTAGTATAGAGGAAAGAGCCCTGCATAGTTCATACTTATCCTCCAAGCCTCTACTCCTACCAAATCTCTAGGAAGCCTTCCTGGACATCCTCTGCCCTCACATCCCAGTTAGATGCTTCTCCACACACACCCCCACCCCCAAGTACCCCAAGCATCCTGTATGACATTCATCTTACAAGACTATCGCTGTTAATGTATTGGCTCCCCAACAAAACTGTGAACTTCTTGGGGGCCAAGACTGTCACATGTTTCAATATTACCAATGCCCAGCACCATGCCTGGCATCTGCCAGACAGCCAATAAATGTAAATTAAAGAAATAACTAAAACCAAAAATCCAAACCCACTGCTTATACTCACAGCAATACTGCAGGACAGAGTAAAACTGCCCCATAGGGTATCCAAGGCTGTAAATCCTTACAGAAGCAGACTGCCACATCTTCCTCCCGAGAAGTGGATGGTGGGTTGAAACCACAAACCTTTCAGTTAGCAGCCGAGTGCTTTAACCACTCTGCCACCAGGGCTCTTCATGAAATAACTAAGGAATTAGAAATCACAGATTCTGTAGCTAGTTCTTTTTAGCTGTGTGAAATCAGGTAATTCACTTAAACTCTTAGTCTCTTCTTAAAATAAAGAGACCGAACCAGATAATTTCTTATGACACTTTCAGTTAGATAATCCCAGTTACGATAAAACCATACCAAATCAAACATGGCTCTATGTAATGCCAAAAACAATGACTATTACATAGAATGTAGTCAGTAAGTATTTGTTGACTGCATTGATGCTTTTCCTCATTTTCCTATTCACAAGTAGCTTGGATAACAGGCAAAACCATCACATTTTCAGTGAAGGTAGCCCCAAACATCATGTACAGTATTGTTTTTACAAAGACATAAAATTCACATTTAGATATTCATACAGTTCCAGTAGTATTTCAATTAAGTAAACATTGGTTCTTGAAAGTTTGTGGACAGAGCTCTCACGGATTGAATCGATCCAACAAATGCATACTTTTTATTAAAAGTTTAACATTTTCAACACTAGCCTGTAACCTCCTTGAGGGCTGGGACAATGTCTGTTGTCTTCATTGATGAACTCTCCCAATACCTAGCAAACTGCCTGGCACATATCAAATATCCAGCAGACACTTGTTAGATGAATGGGTACTGCTAAAATTAACAGTGGTTCCAAAATAACTGAAGAAGGAGGCTTGAAACCAGGAAAGAGTCTGGTCTATTATTTTTAGAAGTAGATTATAAACTATTGAATGATCTGGACCAATATTTTGTGAGACATATTTTAATATTATCTGTGATAGTTTTGGAACCACAATACCAACAGATACAGATAACTACTAATTAAAAACCAAAACTCAAAAACATGGCAAATATTTAAGGTGATACAATTTATTACCAAAAAAATACACTTATAACTAAATTTACTATTCATTGCTTTTAAATATGTATTTATTTAATAATGTACTTACTATCATAATCATCTTTTATATCTATAGTAGCAAATGGCATATCTACCAGCGAATCCACAGTACTGGCTTCAAATTCCTCTGACATTTTCTCTTCTCTTGACACATTTTCACACTCACTGGAATTTATTCCTCCTTTAACATATCACAAAAAGAAAAATGCATTATTTCACTTATTGTTTTTCTAACTCATATCTTAAACCAAAACATCTCAGCTAACTAAATTCAACATAACATCTGTTAACAAACGGTCCAACTTGTATTCAAATACATAGTAAAGCTACAGTCACTTCTCAATATCTACGATAGTTATGTTCTATAAACTCACCATGAACGCTGAATTAGCGAATAATGAACCGTGCTCCTAGGGGAAATACAGGGTTAGTTTCCTGCAAGCCTCTGGTCACAAGATGTTCATCAATAGATCAGTACATAATCTTGTTTTATATAGTTTCTATTTAAAGACACCTTATTTATATGGAGCCCTTGGGTGGTGCAAACAGCTAATGTGGTCAGATGTTAACTGAAAGGTTGGAGATTCAAGTCCACCCAGAGGTGCCTCGAAAGAAAGCTCTGGTGATCTACTTCTGAAAAAATCAGCCACTAAAAACACTATGGAGCACAGTTCTACTCTGACATACATGAGGTCATCATGAATTGGCGTTGACTTGATGACAACTGGTTTTTATTTAATACATATTGTTAATTTATTAACATTGAACTCACCACCAACAGCACTGTAACTCATGCCTGAACAAAGCTTATCTAACACATGCATTTTCTCCATAAGCCACATCACTGCCTTCTTGCACTTAGGAACACTAGACAGCACTTTAGTACTAGACCTGGGGGCTATTTTAAACAGCTAAATCACCAACAAAAAGCATAAAAACGTAAAAAATGTGGCAACAAATAGACTGCAAAAAGGGCACTTATATAGAGTACGGGAGCTAAAACAAGAAGGCAGAGTGTCACCATGTTTGACTTCAGCTGGGAACGTGCATGTTGGGCAACTAATTTTTCACCACTCTTTGCACATCCACAGAGACCACAAAAGCACACAGTATTGATTATAGGGTTACAAATAAATTTTAGGAAGCAGGTGAATTAACAAATACTGAATCCACAGATAATAAGGATCAACTGTATTTTTATAAACATTATGTATACTATATTCTGGGAGTCCCTGGCTGGCACAAAGGTTAGGCATTTAACTACTAGCCGAAAGGTTGGCAGTTCGAACCCACCCAGAGGCAACTCAGAGGACAGGCCTGGCAATCTGCTTCTGAAAGGTCACAACCTTGAAAACCCTATGGAGCAATTCTACTCTGCACACACGGGGTCATCATGAGTAGAAATCGACTCAATGACAACTAACAACATGTCATATTCCATATATTTATAAATGCATTTGTATGTTAAGCAAGCTTCTAAAACTTTAATAATTTTCTAAAGCACAGTACTCAACTCAAGGTTAGATGAAGACTTAGTCAATCAATAATCCTCAAGATCTTTTACAGCCATAGTTCTTTAATTCTAAAACTACAATTTTTTTTCACATCTTTTGAAAACAAATCAACAAGGTTTTGTCAGTCTTCTTTCATGCTTATTTTTAACAGTATCACGTCACTTATGTGTTCTCATGTGTACAAGTTCTGATCTTTATTTTCTTCCTCAATAAAGATTTTTAAGTTGTTTCTCTGCATTATTATATTTAACATTGAAAATGCAGTTAAAAACATACAGCTCTAAACATATGCTTTTCTGGAAATTCAATGATTAAAAAGCAAAAGACCTTACAGTTTCCCTGACAGCTCTCTCATGGACATGTACTGATATTAAAGCCACATTACGAACATTTGGTCTTCTGTTTTATTTTCTTGTTGTGAGTGGGACAATCGTGTCTTGGATGGAAGGTAAAGGAAAGGGGGTATCTGTTTAAACTGATAAAGTTAACTGCTAACCTTATCAGTTGGTAGTCTCCCAGTGCCATTATTCTCCATGCCTTTACTGACATACACAGATGTTGTTTGAACTAGGATTGAACAATATCCTGGGATACTTATGTAATTTATATTGTATGCATTTACTGAAGACTATTTACCATAAATATTAACCAAACTCGTTGCCATTGAGTCGAATCTGACTCACAGTGACCCTACAGGACAGAGTAGAACTGCCCCATAGCATTTCCAAGGAGTGGCTGCTGGAGTCGAACAGCCGAGCTTTTGCTTAGCAGACGAGCTCTTAACCACTGCACCACCAGGACTCCATAAATAATAAAGAGGTCATTTATTTCATTCTGTTGTAATCCTCTAGATTCAAAAATAATACCTGAAAAAGAAATTCCATTAAGAATACAGCCTATAACATACAATATAATAACTATCATGATAGGTCATAATTAACATATACACCAAAAACTATAAATTTCTATCGCAATTTCAGTCATCTCTATTATTGTTCACACATACACACACACACCCGTCTTCTGGATAAAATCAAGAAACAAAAACAAAATCTTTTTGTTGCTGTTGTTTGTTTTCTGTAAATGAATTAGTCAAGTTCAATACCAAAACAAAAAAAAAATTTAATAGGACTTTTTTTGTGTGTGTGCCTTAGGTGAAAGTTTACAGCTCAAGCTAATTTCGTATACAAAAATTTATACACATATTGTTATGTGACCCTAGTCACCTAATTCCTACAATGTGACAGCACACTCCCCCTTTCCACCTCAGGCTTCTTATGTCCATTCAACCAGTTCCTGTCCCTTCCTGCCTTCTCATCCTTCCTCCAGACATGAGCCTCCCATTTGTCTCATGTATCTGCTTGAACTAAGAAGCACACTCTTCATGAGTATTATTTTATGTTTTATAGTCCAGTCTAATCTTTGTCTGGAGAGCGGACTTCAGGAATGGTTTTAGTTCTGCCTTAACAGAGCATCCAGGCGCCATGGTTTTGGGGGTTCATCCAGTCTCAGTCAGACCATTAAGTCTGGTCTTTTTATATGAATTTGAGTTCTACTCCACACTTTTCTCCTGCTCCGTCAGGGATTCCCTGTTGTGTTCCCTGTCAGGACGATCACTGATGGTAACCAGGCACCATCTAGTTCTTCTGGTCTCAGGCTGATGGAGTCTCTAGTTTATGTGGCCCTTTTGTCTCTTTGGCTAATTATTTTCCTTGTGTCTTTGGTGTTCTTCATTCTCCTTTGCTCCAAGTGGGTTGGGACCAATTGACGCATCTTAGATGGCTGCTCCCTAGCTTTTAAGACCCCAGATGCCACTCACCAAAGTTGGTATGCAGAATATTTCTTAATAAACTTTTTTATGCCAATTGACCTGGATGTTCCCTAAGACCATGGTCCCCAGACCCCAGGCCCTGCTACTCTGTCCCTCAAAGTATGTGGTTGTGTTCAGCAAACTTCTTAACTTTTGGTTTAGTCTAGTTGTGCTGACTTCCCCTGTATTGTGTGCTGTTTAATAGGACATTCTTAATAATGCTATATATATTACAGTTTAAACTTAATATCAAGTATGAGGGCCTGGCACGTGTAGGTGTTCAACAAATGTTTACTATGAGTCTAGTCAGAAGCTCACAAATACTTAAAATACGTGAGAACAAATAACTATTTTCTCTGTATCTTTTAAGCTTAAGGTTAAAAATATAAATTCAATTTATACTTGAACAAAAGTGTGACTAGATCAATACACATTTTGTACCTTTGCGTAGGTACAGCTATACACAAAAAAGGATCATCATTGACCATGTAGCTTACATTTGAAAACTAGCAACAAAAGAATATTTGTGCAGTTAAATACGCAAAAGGCTGAACAAATATCCAATGCAATGAAATAAAGCCAACTTTTGTTTTTCTTCATTTTATACTTAGTCTAAGAACTTAAATAAAAAAAAAAAGTTGCCATCAAGTCAAATCTGATTCACGTGGACAGCATGCGTGCCAGAGTAGAACTGTGCTCCATAGGGTTTACAGTGGCTAACTTTTTTGGAAGTAGATCGCCAGGCCTTTCTTCTAATGTGCCTGAGCAGACTTGAACCTCCAACCTTTTGGTCAGCAGCCAAGTACATTAACCATTTACACTAGCATCTTAATGTTAGCTCCCAAGTCCATTTGCCACTTGGAAACATACTGGAATCTTGGAAATATGTGGAATGGGGGGAGGGCAGTTGGCTTCTGTGCTCTAATAGTATATTTTGAAGGTAAGGGGAAGAACTAAATAAAAGGAGGAATTTAATTTTTTTTAAATGAAAAAAGTTCTTGAAATAGTTTAACTTTGTGATTTATCTTGAGTCAATTAATCAACAACAGTTAGAGGGCAAGAGCTACATGGGTCATTCTGGCTAAACCAAAAAGAGACTCATACAGTGACAATGATGGTAACAGTGGCATTTGGGTAAAGACGCAAGGCACACTGGCTGCTGTAAAGAAAGGGTTTGGGACTAGAAATCAGAACGCAGATATTCTAGTGTTGGATCTGCCACTCTCTAGATATGTGATCCAGGGCAAGTCATGTGAAATCCCTAGGCCCCAGTTTTCTCATCTTTTAGATGAAAGTTGTACTAGTTGAAAAATTCTAAATCCTGGCTGTGCATTTGAATCACCTAAGAAGCTTCTAAAAATTACCAAGGTCTGGACCCCGGCTAGGCTGATTAAATCAGAATCTCTGGAGATCTGGCTGGCCTCTGGTTTTTTTTAAAAAACTCACAGGGTATTTCTAATGTGCAATAAAGTTTGAAAACCACTGCTCTAGAAGATCCCCTTTCATTTCTTCCATATCTTGATTCTACATCAGACTAAGGGAGTGTGTTAACAGTTAAGGTCAATCAAATGAAAAGTTTAAAACTCAGATTAGACTTCTGTCAGGGAAAACTTTTCTGATCCTCTGCTCACGAATGTGTGAGCTGATCCAATAGCAAGTACCTAGTGCTTCCCCCAATCACAACACGAGGACATTTTATTATAGATGTCTACCTATCTGTCTCCCCAATTAGACTCTGAGCTAAAGTAACTACCTACACTATGGCCCTTTTAAAAGTGAAACTAGGAACTTTTCATAATTACATCCAGGCCAGTATGTATGGTCACTCTACTTTAAGGTCCTTAAGGACATGTATCT